AATTATAACTATATTCGTAATTAAATATGATTGAATCATCTTATGCGATACTTTTTTTTAAGATTTATTTTATTAGAAATATAGAAATTTACTAGAAATATTTTATTAGATTGAATCATCTCATATGATACTTGTTTTAAGATATATTTTACTAGAAATATAAAAATTTATTAGAAATATTTTACTAGAAAATGACAAATGAGAATAAAATTCTTTTTTAATTAACCAATAGAAATTATTTTCTATAATAATATTTAAAATTTATNAATAATATATAATTATAAGAACTAATTTTTTTAAATTTTAATAATATAATAATTAATTAATCAACATTGGAACATTATTGTTGTTCATAAAATTCAATTATCAAAAAAAATATAAAAAAATTTCTTCTAAATATTAATTGCAAAATTATTCTGTCGAATAACATCTTAATTTTATATTTATATTAATTAATTTCAAATTTTCTTTTTTTTTATTATTATTTTATATATGTATTTTAGATTCGTATATAAATTATCTACATTCTCAACAATTCGTTGTCAAATTCAACTATTCTTTCTAGTTACCTTTCCATTATACATTGAGATTTATGTATATCTTTTCAACTAATTTTTTATTTTATATCAAACACGATGTTGCAACTTTTTTTTGATATAATATCAAATTTATCTTTGATTCTCAACAAATGTAATATCTTTATACTGATTTCATATTAATTTAATATTAATTTGATATTAAATTAATAATTATTATTTTATTTGCATATAAATTAATTTCTCCTAAAAGTTCTTTTCATTTGATTTTGATCATGATTTGAGAAATATTATATCATATTTATTTTTTATTCATATACAATTTTTCTTTAATTTTATAAAAACATGTATTTTTTTTTAAATATCCTGGATTCTTTGTAAAATTGATTAGTATTAAATTAGAAAATTAACAAGTTACAATTTCATTAGATTATAAATTACATAATTATATATCAAATAAAATATTCAGATGATTCATGATTTTATAAATGATAAAATATTATTGAAATGATATCATTGAAATGTGTGAAGATTTCTCGAAATATTTTTTGTTTTCCAATATTAATAGCAATTTATAATATGTATTCGTGTTTGTATAATATTCTCTATAATACATTTAAATTTCACAATATAATATAACTCGCATATGTGTAAAAATAGTTTTAATAAACTTGTTTTAATTGTCGTCACAAATGAAACTGAATGTTTCGTTAAAAATGTCATTTCATTAAAAAAAAAAAAAAGAATTAATATCAAATAAAAAAAATATTTTGAACATCATAAGATAATAAATATATATATATATACAGAATGTTCCAAAAATATATATGTATAAATATATAATACATTTTAATATATATATATATATATTATACATATTTATATATTTATATATTTATAATATACTTTTAAAGAATTCTATACATAGAAATAAATACAAAGATTAATATATGAGAATTTTAGTTGATGCTTATTTATTAAATTATAAGTTTTTGAAGTTTCAATAAACTAAAAATATTTACATTCAACACAAGTTGAAAAGATGAAATACGTATTATAAATAAGTGCAACATAAAAAAATATTTAAATTTTAATTTAATAAATTAATTTAATAATTTAAATTTTAATAAATGAGTAAACTAGTAGATCGTAATATGAAACAAATATATTTTCAAAATTATGCAGGTATCCATCTTACAAAAAAAAATGATCTCTCCCGAATTTACCTCATAACTTCATTGAATTCTTCAATTCAAACAAGAATCAAATTTTCGAAAATTTTAAATCTTCAAGAAAATCTAAAAGCGAGTCAAATTTGATATGTTACAAAAGATATATAAGATAAAATAATTCAGATCATAATACTGAGATTAAGGGATAAAAATAATAATTCAATAGTCAG